CCCCCCCCCCCGCGGTTTCCCAGCATCTCGTGGAGAGACAGAGGAAAGGGAAGAAGCAGCCAAAGTGGGCAGCTGGTGAAATTTGGGGAAGCTGTGGATTTGGGCTTTGCAACTGTCAGCCGGGGCCACCCAGGACAGTCAGGGAGGAGGCCTCCAGCCCTTTGGGACAATGGTTCTGGGGAAGTGGCCTGAGGTTGCCAGGAAAGGTGACAGGCTGGGGGTGGGGGGGGAAGGGGGCTGGATTCAGAGAAGGAAGTTCTGTACAGGGCAGAGGGTCAGAGAGTCATGAAATGTTGAAATCCCTTGTACCGGGTTGTAAATTGTTCCTGCCCTGAGCTCCCCAAGTGCTTGCCTGCTGTCACCTAGGCCCCTTCCTGGTCCCCCGGAGTCTCCCCATGATTCAGGTCTGAAGGGGGGGGTCACTTCAGCTACTGCACTAGCCTCTGACCCTGCTGCAGCTCCGCCATCCGACGGGTCGGTGTCTCAGCTGGCTGTGCCCGGGGTGAAATATTTTCAATATCACCCAGGTCTGTGGCGTGGGGGCATCTTGCTTGGCAGCCCCCCCATCTCTGTCTGAGGTCACCCGGCGCCTCTCCATGGAGCCCGCTACCATGGCCTGGCGGCCCACTTGCCCCTCAGACCACCGTGTTGCCCTCCAGAAATGTGGGTGACGTGGGCATGTGCGTGCCCCTCTCCAGGGAGCTGGAGCTGCGGAGAGGCAGGAGCCGATGGCCCGGGGTCCCCCCCCGCCGTCCTTGAACCCCCCCCGCCCGCCGGCAGCACTGCATCGGCCGCAGTACCTCCCGCCGCAGGTCCCGGCTGCGCCACGTGTAGATGACCGGGTTGAGCAATGAGTTCAGGGTGGCGAAGGCAAAGAAGTAGTGGGCCTTGTAGAGGACAGGGCAGGACCGGACGGGGCAGGCGTAGTCCAGGAGCAAGATGCTAAAGGCAGGCAGCCAGCAAACGATGAAGACACCCAGCACGATGGTGACCGTCTTGAGCAGGGCCAGCGTCTGGGGGCCAGCCACGTCGGCATGGCTGGAGCGGACCACGCAGTAGATGCGGACATACAGAGCGACAATGGCCAGTAGGATGACGGAGAAGATGGTGACCACGCAGAGCACATAGTGCTTGGTGTAAAGTGGCAGAACGGTGGAACAGGCCTCGAGGTGGCCCAGGCAGTTCCAGCCAAGGATGGGCAGGCCGCCGAGAGCAAGTGAGATGAGCCACGAGGCGGCGATCAGCAGCAGCATGCGGCAGCTCTTGTCGCTGCCGTAGAGCTTGACCTTGGCAATGGCCACGTGCCGCTCGATGGCGATGGCCAGGAGGCTGAAGACAGAGGCGGAGAGCGTGATGAAGGCGGAGCCCTCTCGGGCAAACCACTGCACCGGTGTCAGCCCCAGCGTGACCGGGCCCGAGAGCAGGGTATTGGCTATGAAGGCCACTCCTGCCAGTAGGTCCGAGGCGGCCAGGTTGCCCAGGAACAGGTACATGGCCGAGTGGAACTTGCTATTGCGAGCGACTGCGATTAGCACCAGCAGGTTCTCCACCACGATGGCAAAGCAGAGGATGATGATGAGGGCCAAGGCCACCTGGCGGGAGGGCGTCTCCTGAGTGTCCAGGGTCTCCTTGGTGTAATTATAGTGTTCCCGGACCTTGCTGGGACTTAGGTACTCTGAGTACAGGCTGCCCATGGTGGGGCTCAGTGGCCGGCTAGGGCCATGGGGCTGTCAGAGCTGCAGAGAGAGAAGACAGACAGAGACCAGACAAGACAGACAGACAGGTCAGTGCTGTAGCTGCCCCCTGGGCTCTGACTTTGGATGGCGATGGTTTGAGTCCCAGCTCCCTCATTTCTGAGTGCCACATGAAGTCAGAAGTATCATCATCCCTGCTTTACCAAAGGGAAACCCAAAGAGGTCAACTCACTTGCTGTAAGTCTCAAAGCTGGAGAACCACTCCAAAGCCTCTATAACCTCTAGCTACGCTGTCTTTCCAAAGAACAGAAGCTCCCCCAAACAGCATGACAGACACAAAGTAAACTTCCAGAGCTCTTGCTCACCTACCCAGAGAGTGAGCCTTGGGCAGGGCCTGGAGGGCTCGTCTCCCTTCTGGAATACACTAGAGCCCGGGGCCTCATGCCGCCTGCCAACCTGGGTCAGCAAGATGCTAGCTGCTGATAGCACCATCCCCTGCTCATTACCACCCACTGCCCTGGATTTCAGGCTGGGTCTAAGCCTTTCGGCCATGGGTGCTCCCAAGATAAGGTCTTGGGGAGACACCAGGGCGGCCCTGAGGTTTAAGCATCTCGGAGGTCATGGCATCTTCAAGGACAAAGACCTTGGAGGCAATCCAGGGTTCAAACCCACTCCACCTGACATGCTGTGGGACCTTGGGCAAGTCACTCAACACTCGGCCTCTCAGCCCCCAATGTCCTCATCTGCGAAATGGGGAGAAGGAAGCCCGCTTTATAGGAGTAATGGGAAAATCCTCTTGAATGGTACACGAGGCACCCTTAGCGCACAGTAAGCACTTGATAAACATTAGCCAATATATTAGCTCCCCTCTTCCTCACACACACACACACACACACACACACACAGCTGGGGACTAGGTGCCCTCTAGCCAATCTTTGAGGAGGGGATGTAGACTGAGCTAGCCAGGCAAGATCCCCAACATCCTGTTCTCATCAGCACCATCTAGCCATGCCCTGGGACAGAGGGTCCCAGCTGGGTGGGCAGGGCGCTGGCACCCCCCTCCCCTGCCACGATGAAATCCAGATGTGAGGCCCCAGGAACAAACAGGGTGGAGTCCTCACTTCCCAGTCACATCCGGTGTGGGAAAGGCTGGGAGGGGGTGATGGGATGGGGGAGCCACAGGAGACCAGTCTGGGAGGTCCTGGCAGGGAGGATGGGGCAGTGCTGAAGTCATGTGAGCCGAAGAGGGGGCTGAGGGGAGGTGGGGGACGGTATTTGTTTCCATGAAAGCCTGAGTCACCCCCCCTCTCAAGGAAAACTGAGCCGTGGGGGGAGGGGGCGGGAAGAAGCGAGGGCAGAGAGGCTGAGAGGCCAACATCACGGCCTCCTCCCAGCTTGGTGGTGTTTGCGGGGGGTGTCGCAGAGGGGCTGGTGCAGTGTCTGTCTTTCACGAAGGGAGCCTGGAGGAAGCTCCAGCCTTCAGCTAATGGGGGAGGGCGCGGAAGGAGCCCTCCCTAGGTGCCTGGAAACATGCCTGGCAAGGACTACGTGCGCTCCAGGAGTGCCGTTCCAGAAAAGGCTGGTTAGGCCGGTTCCTAGTGAGCCTGGGAATTATGGGGGGCTTCCGGGGTCACCCAAGCCATCTCAGTCCCCGGACGCCCCCTCAGAGGGGCGCCCTGGCCCCGGGCCTGACAGAGGCAGCTGCTCCCCCTGGGTGAAGGGGCATCCGTCCTAGTTTGGAAACAGAGAAGGGCTTGTGAGCATCCCCGGAGACTGCCGCCCCGCCCAGATCGCCACACAGAGGCCCCTTGTTCCCCTGCCGGACCGGGCCCTGGGCGCCCCGATGGCCTCTGCCCGTTGCGGGCTGCAGCCGGCCGGGAGCTGGCTTGGCCCTGGCCGCCGCCTTACTGGACCGGCCTTCGGGGCAGAAACAGCCCGCGCCCTGATTGGCTTATTTTCAATCGCAGGGCCTTGAGCGATTCGCCCATTGGCCGGAGCTTTCCGTCCTCGACATTTGATTGGCCCAGTTGGGGGCGCTCTAAGGAAGGCGCTAGCGATCGGTCCTTTGCAGGCCCTTTGCAGACGGACCACTTCTTTCGGACAACAGAGTTAGGGCTGTGTGGATGTCCCTGGGGAGAGTGTGAACCGCGGCCTGACAGCCGGGTCATGCCGACCAGACGCCCCCAGGCTGCCCTGGCCTGCTGGGCCCCTCCGAAGTTCATGACTGAGAAGCAAGGGCCCGTTGCAGGCCTGGGAAGCACCCGTGCTGGTGGTCCCATGGCCACCCCCTTCACCCCTCCCTCACGCGGGGCCACCAACCTTCTGGTCTGGCAGCCAAGAGGAAGACTTATGGAGGCTTCCTGGAGAAATAAGAATTGGGTTCAGTCCTCCCACCCCAGGGACCCACAGAAAAGTCTGTCTTCTTCCCTGGGGGGTGGGGGTGGGTGGGAATTGGGAGCCTGCGCACTCACTTTCTGCAGCCCTTGGAAGCTGTCAAGGCATCCTCAGAAGGAGGGGTGGCTCGCCTAAAGAAGGGGAAACTGAGGCCCACACTGCTTCCCTCTTCTCATCTTCCCCACTAGGACTTTGCTGAAGACAGAGCTTAAGGTAGGCTCATGCTTCCCAGAAAGAGGAAGCGGGGCCTGGGGATTGGGACAGACAGAAGAGGCATCCCCAGGCAGATACAGGCCTTGGCTGCTTCCCCTCCCTGTGTCAGGCTCCCAGAGGGCCTGTCTCCTGCTCACCTTCACCAAGGCCGTCCTAACTTCTTCCCAGAGGCTCAGTAAGAGGTCACTGGGCTCAGAACCGGGTAATGGCCAGGCCTGAAATGGAATGAGAGGGACAAGTGACAGGGTTTGGAGGGAAGGGAAGATAGACCAAGACTGTTCAGGGGGAGATTAGAAGAGAGGAAGGACAGGGGAAGCCTCATTGGCGTCCAAGAGTCCCTCCTCCAAGTTCCCCTGAGGCAGGCCCTCAGTGCTTACAGTTCCACTGATCCATGCCACTTTCCCTAGGGCAGCGCCCCCCACCCCCTTTTGGTTTCCCTTCAGCTGTCAGGCCCGCCCTACACTGCCGTTCTCCATGCGGCAGCCAGGGGGAGCTACTGAAGTCTATTTAAGTCACAACGCCAATACACTGTGTCACTCCCCCAGCTCCAAATTCTTCCATGGCTCCCCACTGCCCAAAAGGGCCTGGCCCCTGCCTATCTGGCCTCCTCCCACTCTCCCCCAGGTCCTCTCAGTTCCAACCACACTGGCCTCCTAGGTGCCACCCCCATCCCTACCTCAGAGACTGTGCTCTTGGCTGTTCATCCACCTGGCATGCCCTTCCCTCAGATCCTGGAATGACTGTCTTCTCCTCTTTCTGGTTTCGGGTTTTTTGTTTTGTTTTGTTTTGTTTGTTTGTTTGTTTTTTTAAGGATTTATTTATTTATTTTGAGAGAGAGAGAGAGAGTACATGAGAGCGGGGAGGGTTAGAGGGAGAAGCAGGCCCCTCGCCGAGTAGGGAGCCCGATGCGGGACTCGATCCCGAGACTCCAGGATCATGACCCGAGCCGAAGGCAGTCGCTTAACCAACTGAGCCACCCAGGCACCCCCTCTGGTTTCGGTTTTAAGGTCACCGGCTCAGAGGGGTCTCCTCTGACCGTCAGTCTATCATAGCCACCTTCCCCAGGGCCGTTCTATGACAGCATCTGGCTTTATTATCTTCACACAACTTGCCATTCTCAGAGATTATTATTGTAATTTTTGTTTTCTGTCTGGCTTCCGTGGTAGAATATGAGTGTTGGAGGCCAGCGACCGAGTCCGTTTTCAGCCCCTTTGGCATGATGCCTGGCATACAGAAGGTACTCAGAAAACGTGTGTGATGGATGATGGATGATGGATGGATGATGGATGGATGATGGATGATGGATGGATGATGGATGGATGATGGATGGATGGATGGACGGACGGACGAATGAAAGAAGCCCCGCGGGCCCCTGAGGGTAGAGGCACCTAAACTCAGCCTAGCCCCCAAACAACAGTAAAGGCTGGCCGCTGGCAGCCCCCTGACCGGCGAAGCCCGGCGCGTCTCCGTGGAGACAGCGGCAGGACCCGCCCCCGCCCTCGGGCTGCAGTCTAGGCCTCCTTATCTGGCGGTGGAATGCGCGGTATCCACACTCGCTCCCGCTGGGGCCGCGCCTCCTCTCTCGCGACAGCCACACGCGAGGAACCCCTACATGTCCCGTGGGGGTGGGGGACGCCTCTGCGTCCCGCCAGGGGCTTCGCCCTGGTATTCCCAGAGGACTTAGGGGCGGGAGTCGGGGTGTGGGGGATCCCAGCAGCAGCCGCACGGCCAATACCAAACCGCCGTCGCGCCACGCGGGGGGCCCGTGGGCTCAGCGCGTGGTGCCTGGAGCATCTGACTAGGGCAGAGTCGGGGGAGGGCATGGAAATCCCCGGGTGAGTCAACTCGTGCGGGAGGAGGGGGCGAGGTTCCGACGCTCTGCTGGGTCCCGGACCACACGGGGTCCGCGCCACGGGTGACTGCACCCCCGCCCTGTCCCTGGGCCCCAGGTGAAAGGAGAGGCGCGGGAGTCACGCACTCACGTTCCCTTTCCTTCCAGAACAAAGCCACGCCCCCAAGGGGGGGTGACTGAAGACGAACTACTCGGGGAAACTGAGGCACCGAGGCAGACCTGCAGGCGCTGGGGCAGACGGCCCTCCCGGGGACCCCGCCCCTTGGCTTAGAAGCTCCGCGGCGCGCTGCACCTTTCGCTCTCGCCCAGCCCGAGTCGGCCTGCGGCGGAGCCCTCCCCCTCATACACTCTCCCCAAGCCCCCCCCTCGCTCCCCCCCGGTCCCGGACCACACCGTTCTGCCTCCCAGTCTCTGGCCGAAAGCGCTCGGATCCGCCTTCTCTTCGGCGCCAACTTCCTGCCGCCGGGGAAGGCGGGGAGCTCAGTCTGGGGGTTCGCGGGCGAGGCTGTAGGGGCCGCCTGGAGTCGTGGAGAGGGCGCACAGTGACCACTCCCTCTGTGCGGCAGGAGCACCGGCGGCGCGTGCGCGCCCCGGTGCACCCCCAACCCCTGGCCTGGCTCCCCAGCTCCGATCCTGCGACTCAGGGATCCCGGGCCCGTCCTTTCTGCCTCCCCCTCGTCCCGCACACTCACCTGGCTGGGCCGGCCCAGGTCCCTGCCCTGGCCGGAGGGGCTCTGGCGTCTGCGTCCCCGGGACGGCATCGGCAGAGGCTGGGGCTGCCTGCCGGGCTGGGACTGCGTCCCGGGGCTCGCGACCAGGGACAGAGGGGGGCGGGGAGAGACACCGCCTAGGCCCCCCACTCGCCCCGCCCTCCTCTCCTCCCCTTTCCGGCGGCGGCGGCAATGAATTCCAGATGTGGCGGGTCGGCCCGGGCGCGCGCGCTGGGGACGGCGGGGGAGGCGCGCGGGGTCCCTTTGTCCGCCCCCCCACCTCTCGCCCTGCCCCCCCACCTCTCGCCCTGCCCCTCCCAGCCCCCCACTCGTGAGAACCTGCCGGCGCATGACGTCACGCGCCTCCGTGACGTCACGCCTCTCCTGGCCAGGTGGCCTCAACCCGAAACAACTGTCTTCAGTTGTAGATATACTCTTGACTCATCCCTGGGACCCCGGAATTGGAGGAGAACATGAGATCCCCTTTATTTACTCAACAAGGAGCCACCGAAGCACCTCTGTGTCAACGCAGCAAATAGGCATGAAGCGCCTCCTCTGAGTTCCTCCAATAATCAAGTCCTACCATGTGCCACGCCCTGCCCCAAAGACAGGATTAGTTTTTGCCTTGATAAGACCTTAGAATTCAGATAAGACCCCTAAAAAAGTGGGAGCACCCAACAGTCTATGCTGCCTCTGCTGATGGATCGCTGTCCCGCCCTTGGTGTAGTCAACCAGGCAAGAAGGCCTGGGTTCATCCTGCCTTCCAACTTGGGGCCCAATCTTCTACACAGTTCTTTGGGTTCTCTCTCTCTCTTTCTCTCTCTCTCTCTTTTTTTTTTTTTAAGATTTTATTTATTTGTCAGAGAGAGGGAGGGAGAGAGCACAAGCAGGGGAAGTGGCAGGCAGAAGGAGAAGCAGGCTCCCCGCTGAGCAGGGAGCCTGATGCTGCGGAGCTCCATCCCAGGACCCCGAGATCATGACCTGAGCTGAAGGTGGACGCTCAACCAACTGAGCCACCCAGGCTCCCTGGTTTCCCTCTCTTTTCCTCATTTCAGCTTTTCCTGGGCGACTCTGTATGCCTAGATGCTGAGATGGAAGGACACCCTCATTTACTGATGTGCGCACATGTGTGTGTGTGAGAAATCAGCGGCTACACAACATGATAGGAGAGCCCCTCATTCCTTCAACAAATATTTTTGGTATACCTCCTGGGCACAGCAGTGAACAAAACAGGAAAAAAAGTCCTCACCCTCATGGAGCTTATGTTCAGGGGCAAGAGAACAGCCTTTTAGGAGGGCACTGTTCGAGAAAATGCATGCATAATCTTCTTACGTCTATTTACCAGATACATTAAGCACCTGCTGTGTGCCAGACAGTATCCTAAAAAGGATATATCGGGAGCAAAACAGACAAAATTCCCTGTCCCTGTGGAGCTGATGTTCCATCACATGTGCTCAGAATATCCAGAATATTGCAGAAAGAAGAAATTAGTGAATTCCCTGGGTGAGGAGGGGAGAGATAGGGACGGCACAGGAGGGAGGCCGCTTTCATTCTGTGAATGCTCTCCTACCTTTTGATTTTTGTAACATGTGCATGTGTATCCTATGCCAATAATAAATTAAATTAAAAATTGACTGCTGGAGACCTAGATGGTGCAATAAAAAGGAGAGAGAGGTTCAGTGCACTTTTCTGTAGGTGTATCATACTTCAGTCAAGAATGTTGAAACGCGGGCGCCTGGGTGGCTCAGTTGGTTAGGCGACTGCCTTCGGCTCAGGTCATGATCCTGGAGTCCCAGGATCGAGTCCCACATCGGGCTTCCTGCTCAGCAGGG